GTGCGAACCAGATATGGTTCTATATGTGTTATGTTATATAGATAATATGATAATAAGTAATCAAGGTATGATTAGCAAGAAAGATAGAGGAAATGACAATATCTATTATATAGATAATATGATAACATGATAATAAATAATCAAAGTACGATTAGTAAGAAAGATAAAAGAAATGATAATACCTAATACTCTATGTTAATATTAGGATAGGCTTGCCTAAAATAAGAGTTGGTATTTCGAGAAAAGTTCATAAGCCCGGTAGTCTTGCCTATTAGGGAAGTAGGACTTATAAAGGATACTCAGTTCAATTAAATTTGATAAATGGGTAGTCTCATTCGGAGAATGTGTGTAAGTTAGGAATGGAGAGTAGAGTCATGTTCCGTGATATCTTTAGGTGTCGATGTATGGTAGCTCCGTACCGAAGTACATATCAATATTCCATCTTGGGACTACCAAAAATGGTGGGGCCCGATCAGGCAACTATTAATGGTATGTCTTGTCATCCCCTAAAGTAGGATGACAACACTTGACCATTCTAGACGGTATGGTGAATTACGTTTCTAGTGTAGGATCATTATCTACAGACGTATATGAAATGTAATATCCTATTCATCAAAATACTCAAATGGCTCATGTGTCTTTATGACTTACATTAGCCAAGGAAACCCCTAGCTGTGTAGTCAAACCCTTAAACGGTTCGTCAGGTAAGATAAAACTTCTTGATAATCGTAGGACTAGGATATGTGAGGATTAATTAGGATAGGTAGAGGGTTATATAGATATTTAAACCTTATCTATATTATTTGGTAACCGTTGGTTTTTGCAGGTCTGATAATTAAGGAATATTATCATGAAAATATTATGGGATTGAAATCCATATGTATCTCACTAGGTTTCCCAAACCTGACTCACTCAATTTATATGCATCACATGTATCAAGACTTAAGCTTCTGGAACTTGATTAGGATGTTGAGTGATTAAGAGACATCCTGCAATAGAGTTCAGGACCATTAGGTTCTTACGTTGTAACCTATGTTTATGTATCGATTATGACATCCTTATGATTTTATTGAGACAATCACTTGTACTCAAAATGTTTCAAATATATTGGGAATTTCCGCATTAATGATAATATAATTTTAAAAGCATAAAGAAAATTTTTTAATTGGTTCTGAAAATTAGATGATGTAACATGCTTCTCGATTCCAGTGATGTAATCTTCAAAATGCAACACCCACAGCTCATAATCATCTGGAAAGAGAATTAGAATCCTTGTATTTGAACCAATGCTACTTGACAAATTAATTAAACGACACAACATGAGAGTCTACTTTAGCCATGATTTCAATTGAAATTTAAACAACGAATCAAATCGATGAGGGAAATGTAAAATTCAAACCAAAACGAGTTCTAGAACAAGAATTTCCATATCATAATGCAAACAAATTGCAATTGCGGAAGAGATCTAGAAAAATCAAAAACAAAGAACGGTGAACTCGATGAACTCAGGAGAATTCAAATATCTGAAATAGACTTAAAGTTTTTCTTGCTCTGATACCACTTATAGGATCAAATTTAGATTCTAAAAGTATGAAATTATGTTTGAATGAAAGAAATGATTGCACAGAAGAGTAAATAAGATTCTGATTTGATTTAGAGTAAGATCATTCAATTACCACTATTGAGTGTAAGAACTTCGCAAAAGCTTACTCTACTTTCTAAGTATAGGTTGACAAAAAGAGATTCGGTTAGAGAATAATCAATTAGGTTACGACACCTAGGCAGTGACAGACTGTCAAACAGTTACGCACATGTCACTACGAAACCTTGTGTCCAAAACTCTGAAACCAAACATACTTTCGGAATTAAACATTGAAGACTAAAATATTACAATATTTCGCAATAGACTCTAACACAACACACATTTAGACTCTGAAACCTAACAAAATGACATCATGCATGGGAGGAATCTTCTTTCTTAAAAGATATCATACATGGGAGGAGTCTTCTTTCTTCAAAGAGCGATGAAACTAAATAATCACTCTATAAAAGGGAACATATGTGATCTATTTTAAAGAGCATATCGCAAAGACGGGTATAATGCACGTATTGATCGATTGGTTGTGTAGAATGAGTCTAAATTAGAGACCTAGTTTGAGTTGGTTTGTGTGGTTTATTGATGTAGCAATTTGTTGTTGAGCATGTGTTTTATAATATAATCTTATTTATTATTTGTTGAGATAGTAGTTCCTTCTATATCATTGTTTTGTGATGTAATTTTATTAAAAAAATTGCTCACCTAATTGTTCGTTCAAATTCTTTATAAAAGTTTAATTATTATTCTTAATAGTTATATTTAAAGTAATACAATACAAAAGAAGTTAAATTGGTTAATAAATAAAATTTATTTATTTATCTTTCGATAGATATATTGGTAATAATAATATCAATTGGATTCCGATTATTAGTTGACTTAGTTCAACATACACAATAAATATTTATCAGAATAACATTGACTATAAAATGAACCCAAAAACCATCATCCTCATCTCAAATGCTATCTTCTTATAACGTGTCATTGTCACACGATGTTGCGGTGTATAATAAAAACATGTTCACGACATATAGATTGCAATATCTTTCATCTTTACATAATTTCTAACATGGAGTTAGTCTAATAACATTCATCAAACTCCCCCGCCAAAAAAAAAACAAAAACAAAAAAAAACAAAAAAACTCTAAAGTCACATCATTTGTAGCAAATGAGATATCATAGATGTCACGATATTCAAAATATATTGATCTTTTAATTAAATATTATCTATCAACGTGTACGATTGAATAAACAATATCAACAAAATTATGGAATTGCATTTTGCGTGTAACTAATATCATAAAAGTTGATCGTTGATCGCAATGGTATTATTTCTCCATTCTTGAATTGAACATTACCACCAATAGAAAATCATTAAAAATAAACAACTTAAAGTTCATCGGATGAGAGATGTTAATGAAGATGCTGAAATATACCAAAACATATTGATTGAATGGATAGACGAAAGGAGATAGAAATGAAAAGTTATTCGGCAACTTTATAGCATCCCCTTAACAAGATTTATGTGAATAACGCCATTTGCAACAATTTGTGATATAACTTTTGTTAACAATAAGGTATATTGCAAATTCCCCAAACATATTTTACAAAACTAATGATTATTTTATGATATTTTTTGAAAATTAGTCACTTTCTTATGAATCAATAGCTCTAAAAACTTATAAATTCAACATATAAATTTATCATATAATTAAAATAATCAACCTTATTATATATTACCTAAAAGACTAAGTTTTTAAGAATCTAGAGCTCAAGAGGATTTAAATCCAAATCAAATATGAAAGTCATATGTTGGAGTATGAGGTAAAAAAGTCACTTGACAACTTGTTTACAAAGTTCAAGAACTTTGGATCAAACTAAAGTTATAAGCTTTGACTTTTTAGAAACAACGTTACCTACTATAAAATTCACATTGACCCTATTTCATTCAACCCCTTGAGAAAATTACAAGATTTCATTCCACTCACACGACTTAAATCTAATTCCAATTTAACCCCCCAACTCCCAATTTAAAATAAGAAAAAAAAAAAGATAAACATAAAAAAAAAATTACTTTGGTAATTAAAATAAACAAAATACCCAGATGTGGGCAAGTGGCCCCCACCTATTGAGTTTCAGTTCTCCAACTCAGCAACTCGCGATTTCTGTTTTTCCAGGCTGGCACTGAGTTTGAACCAACTCGTTGGGTATTATTCACCGAGTTGACCCAGTCGAGTTCACCGGAGCTTCCACGCCGATGTCGTGATTAGCGGCCGTGTATGCCAACCCAACATCAAACAACCGTTGTTTTCCTCCACCCTGTAGCCATCGCCGCCGGCGAACAGAGCTAACAACATACTAGCTTGTTTGTAGGCGTTGGAACCCAAATGAACCGCTTCAAACCCACCCGATTCAAACCGAGTCTTCCATTGACTCGACGTCTGGTGCCTTTCAACTCGGTCTGGTCCTTCACACGCAACCACGTTACAGATCTGTTTCCCAAGATACACCTCCGACATAATCTTATCTTGGTTACTCGCCGCCGGAATACCACCACCTTCCACCACTCCGCCGCCGTTGCCACTGCTTTCAAGTGAGTCAAAAAGGGTGGAATAGTAATGTAAAGACTCGGTGAATCGTTCCAAGAACACCGGTCCGTTATGATTAGCTTCTTGCTCCACCACTGTTAAAATCTCCGGCTTCATCTCCTTCACCGCCGATAAGACCTTCTCGACGGCCCCCGGTCTAGCCAATAACTGATGCAACTCAAAAACCGAGTTAACCGCGACAACTTCATCTTCTCTTAAATCAAGCATCGAGGGTTCAAGATCAGCCAAGCTTTCAGCAAGAAAACCCCTGTACTCAAACTCCACATGAATTGTATCAGCCAATTGAGCCAATTTCCAACCAACCTCCTGCAAATGATCCGTATTATCACCTGATGGTGGCCCAATTCCGGTTAATCGGAAAGTGGGCGGACCTCCGGGTCGAAGAGCCAAAGCCTGCATCAGAGCCGGCCACTGCATACCCTGTTTCATGCTAAAATCAATCACATGAACCTTCTTCTTACCTGCAAAAGCTTCTAAGATAGCTTGATTCGCCGTAAAATGGGCAAATTTGAGGTAAGGGCAGGTTTCGTAAAAATGCATCTGAAGAAGATCTTGGAACGCCGGCGAATCTTGTGGCGTTTTAGGGTATAGCCGGTAGATTCTTCGAGCAAGAGCTTCGGCAAAATACGTCGCAACTTTCCTCATAGCTCCGGCTTGAGAGACGGCTAAAATCCCGGCTTGTTTCACCAAGGTTTCAGCTAGTTTCATGTCGTCTTGCTGGACAGCTTCGGCGCAAGCCATCAGAGTATGAACAAGTCGGATCCCGTTTTCCTGTGTATCGACAAGAACAATCGGGTTCGGATTGTACGAGGAGGAGGCACCGGTCGACGGAGAAGAGGGTTTTTGTTTTTTCGCCGGAGGGTAAATTGCGTTTCCGGGGATCCTTTGTAGATCATCAACGAAGACAGAAGATGAGTCCACAGCTGACGGAGTTACAGAGGAGGTGTTGTTCACAAACGAATCATCGATAACAGTGGGTTGATTTGTTGGGTTCAGCTCACAAATCATTGATTCAAGCCACGAAGAAAGATCTGAAGGGTTATAATGAACAGAATCAGAAGCAAGCTGAGACAACCCATCATCGTTCCCCAAAACACCCTCAAGATGCTCGATCTTTTGCGCAACATCAGCCATATCAGACGACTTAACTTTGTACCCAAGCACCGCCAACAGCTCATCAACGCCGGCGTCTTGCTCTTCAACCTCATCCCACATCTTCGATTTCCCGGTGACATCAGAAAAACCAGAACCAGAGGCGGCGGCGGTGGAGGCGGAGGCGGAAGTGGAACTGCCGCCATTAAAGAAGGTGTAATCCTGCTGTGGGTATTCTCGTTTCATCTTTTTTTCTTTTTTTCTTCTTCAGAGTCTTTTCTGTAGATCTTAAATCCACCGATTGGGGATCGGGAAAAGGGGTATGGGTTAACAATCTGTGAATGGGTGGAAGAATCTGAGCATTTGTGATTGGGGGAAGCGATGATAGTGCGAGTGATTATCAGAGAGAGAAAGATGATAGGTGGAAGTATAAAAATGGTACAGCAAATACAAGTGGTGTTGAGATGAGAGAGAGATGAAGAAACGCTCGTGAGGGGTGGGCGCGATAATCGATGAACCAACAGGCGGACAACACAACACAACACAACACAACCCAACCTCAACCTCAACCCCTCTTCTTCTCTATCTTCATCACAACTAAAAAATATATACTCCTTCACACCAACATCAAAAATTCATTTTTATAATTGTTATATGGTATATAAAATAATTGTAACGAAAGGAATCATGTGAAATAAATTCCTAAGTGTGGAATAATAATTAACTAGTAAAGAACCCGCGGCTATGCCGTTTTTGGGGTATTATGGGAAAAATCAACAAATTTTAAAAGATATGTGTTGAATTTATAATCACCACAAATAAGGGAGTAAGTTGACACCCCTTAAAATTTGTACAACAAAAAAAAGGGACATTGATGGATAAAATCCAAGAGTGTTGTGACAATAATGTTAAAGTTGTCAAAGTTGAGAAAATATGGTGGCAAAATTCAAAAGGAGGGTTTTTGTGTTTTTTATGTCAAAATGTAAAAGTTTTGACTACAATGACGAAAAGTGTCAAATTCATTAAAGATT